CGAAAAACGACAAGTTCAACAAATATTCCGGCCACCTCCTCCCGCCGCCGCCGCCGGCTGGAAAATTATTCCGCCGCTCAACCGATAGGTCTTATCGCAGGGACCCGTTTTTCACGGCCCTAGTCGAGTGTTCCAAGGATGAAGATGGCCGTGGCGCGAATTTTGATAACCTTAGCTCCAAGTTTACTAGGACTTTAAGCGATAGGTTCGGGCTCGTGGGCAAGTATGCTTCGTGCAAGAGCACTTGCGCAGTCTCGGACTCGATCGTGCGTCAATCGAGACTAGGCCCGCATTATCTCGTCTACCGTCTTTAGAGTCGAGTCGAGCTGAGCTCATGATCATCATCAGGGACTAGCTACAATATCCATAGATAAGTTTTCATTTACTTGTATATGTTGGATATTGTTGTTTGTCACTTGACAAAGGAAAAAATAAAAAATAAAATAAAAATCTAAATGTGTGTTCACATTTCTAAATATTTATGTCTTTGCCTAATTATTCGGCTTTTAGAATGTGTCTTTCATTTTGTTCCCTTTGTGGGCTCTTTAATTTGTCCTGAGCGTTGAAGGAAAGTCCGTGGGATGAATGTTGGACAAAGGGGTCATGATGATGTTGTAGTAAATTAAATCTTTAGCTCGAGCCCTGAGAATGCAGTAGTGTTAAAAAATTTTTTGAGGGAGAGCTTTGCCGCCCTTGTGGTCCTACTCGGCTCGATTCCGGATTAGTCGGTTCCCCTGTGGATCCGGAAACCGGAAGGTCCCTGTACCAAAAAAAAAAAAAAAATCTTTAGTTTAATTGTGCTTTGGTTGTTAATTAATACATACGACACGAGTAATGCTCTTCTACCTACGGCATACACATGTTAATATGTCCCGTTTATGTGGCATGCAGATATTGATGATGTATTTTTTGAATATATTAACATCACTAATGTGTGCATGCCACATAAGCGGTGGACATATTAACATGTATCAATCGTGAGTAAGTGAACATATTAACATGTGTCAACGTGAGTAGGTGAACATGACTGTACATACGACAACGTAATAATGTCATAACAAGACCACGAAATTGTACTTTAATTGCCAAGTTTTTTACTCACAGCAAGGATAAATTATGTTTGTTTAATTAATGGGGGAAATTTTGTGTGGGACTGTAGTGAGCTGATAATCTTGCTGGGAAATAATAGCAAAATCCTTTCTGGACATCATGTGATGTGTGTTTGGAAGTTTGAGTAAAAGTTATAAGAGCTCCATGTGTATACAAGTGCAATATATCATATTTTAATGTTATTTATTTATTTATTTATTTATTATTATATGCTCATGCAATTTTTCAATTAATTGATTCACTTGTGAGTTGTTTCACATCGTTTATATAAAGAAAAAAGACCCACTTTATAAGTCTAATAAGCTACTCTTCCTACCATCAATTGGTTTTGGGATGCCTTACTTGAGCTTCATATGGGTTTGCCCTGTCTTTGTGCGCTTCATGTGCGTGGGACCGCACTCGTTTTCCCCCTGTTTCTTACATGGTATTAGAATATTCACTTGCGAATTGTCTTACATCATTTATATAGGAAAAATATGTCTAATATTTATAATTTTAGGTTACTCCTCCTACCACCAATTAGCTTTGGATGAATCTCACTTGGCTTCATTTGAATTTTCTCTATTTGTGGTGCGTTTCATCTGCGTGAGAGCGCACCCGTTTTCTCCCCTTTCTTACAATACACAAATTCTCATGTGGGCGATGTAGTGTTTACTATTTGTGCGATTTATACCGTCTAACATCAATTCAAATATATGGAAAAATAATTGTAGATGTGTTTTATTTATTTAAATCTATTGGTATTAGTATTTTGACATATCATACTCCTTAATATTATATTAATATTGTTATTAGAAGAATATTACGGGCGGAGCAGGGAGAAAATGAGAACAATCGGCAATTACAATTGGAACCTTTAGTTAAATATATAATAATAATATTTTATTTTTTATTGTTTTGGACTTGGGTAAAGTTCGTTACACAGTAATGTTGTTTTGCTGCCACAGTCAAAGTTAAAAAAAAAAAAAAAGTTACTACTACAAAATCAGGCGTCTACTAGCTTTTGACTTTTCTTAATGGAGGTTGGTTAAATAATGAAATCATGGACCAATCTCCTTTATCTTATTTTTTTATCAAGAAAAAATGTAGTGAATTGATCATCATTTTCTACCATAGGATCACATATACTTGTCACATATCCATATTAATGTGTGTTTGATCTAACATTAAAAAACTTAACAAATGGAAAGACCGACAGAATCAAAATTTTCTTAGTTAAATGCCAGAGAGTTCGATGCTATATGTAACTGCACTGCAGTTACATGTTTTTGGCTCTTGATTCATACACACCCACATGAGTGTATGTATGTGTGTAAATCAAGGACAAAAAACATATAGCTATAGTGCAGTTACATATCGTATCGAAATTACTCTAATAATGCCAATCAAGGGTAACTCTAAAGATTTCATCATAGCTACAAAGCATGAATGAGGCTCCCTTTGTAGGAATGTAGTGTAGGACCATTATGATGCTACAAAAGAATACAAAAAGCTTTTTGTACGAGGCAATTTAAAATTAGAGTTTCGAGCATTATTTATTTCATTTTCCTTTTCATTGACAAATATATATATATATATATATATATATATAGAAAAATCCTTTGTCTTTTTCTTTACTCCACTTTTTTAATTTTTTATTTTTTTTTTGGCAACTTTTTTGAGCTGAATAATGATGAAAATTCCAATGATGAAATATAATTAGGTGTCCACTCAAAATTCTTGATATTTGTTATTTTTTTGGCCGTCCACGTAGAATTTCGAAGCACCAAAAACAACCACGTAGGCTCAGAGCGTTCTAGATTAATATAAAAGGGTCGATGTTCTACTTGTGAATCACTTTCGAATTTTAAATAGAAAAAAATAATAATAGTAATAATAATAAATTAGTTTAACTGCCAATATTCTAGTTATTATATAAACTGGTTTTGTTTACGGAACCCCGGTTGAGAGAAAAATAACTAAAGTAGTAATTGGGCCTATATTGGGTCGCTAAGAACCAACTCGGTCCACCGTCTACGACCAGATACAACTCACAGCTATTGGGCCTAATTTTGTAGACCGAGTAGTAGCAGGCTCTTATGCAGGTCAGTCTCAATATGTTTCTGCCGGCCTATTACGTGTCCCATGCACTCTTCTTCTACATTTTATGTCTATATTTATTCTTCCATTTTCCTACTGTCAATCATGCTATATTTGATTACACAATTACCTTTTCAGAATTTTTCAAGTAAAAGTACAAAATACGCTAGTTACATTTTTGTAAAACTTTGTGGAAACAATAATTAATGGGAGTTAATTAGGGCAATAATCCTTCAAACTAACTACACACTCTTGTCAAATAATGAGCCTCATAAGATATTCTCCATCCTCTATAATCTTTTCAAATCCTTCCTCTCCATACAAAGGAGTCTTGGGAGGGCGTGCTCGAGTTGTCTCAGGCATCGTAGGTGATATCGCAGCGATTGCAGTCGAGTGAGTTAATTAGGTGCTCGATTGAATCAATGCATGTGTTGATCCAACGGTGACTGCAGTATGGTGAAATCTACCAGTACCACTATGGACTTAGACAATGTGTAAACACCAGAAGGAGAAACTTTCAATATGTCCATGTCTTTAATAACAATTCCAAGAAAGTTGAGTGGTAATAATATACGAGATTAACGGCAACGAAAGCGTATTCTCTCACTAACATCAACCAAAATAACCAACTTTAGCATCTGAATAATAACCAAAAAAAGAAGAAAAAGAAAGGAGAGACCAAAATCTCACTC